TACTATATCAAACTGTTTCAAATTTATATTAAACTTTCATTTTTCAAAAGCCTCTTTGAAAAAAAGATTTTAGATATTTTCTAAAAAAAATAAAAATAAATAAACACCGGAAAATGTTTTAAATATTATTTATAAAGTATTTGGATACGATGAAGTTAATCCAATCATGAAAATAGAGCATTTTCGGGGTGAGTGAAAGCAGAAATAGGCGACCTTTTTTTCTGTCTGCAGCCGCGCAGCACTTTTTTGACGGGAAAAACTGCAAGTTCAAAATGTGTTCTGTGTCCTCAAACAAGTGTGTATGTTTTTATATGACGTGGTAAAATTAAAAAAGGAAATTTTAAATACATAAAGAGCTTTATTAGTGCATTGCTGCTGAGCGCAACGAAATATAGGCTATATTTTATTACGTGCTGCTCTTATGTGCTGAAACACTGAACACTTTCCTTTACTTAAGATATAATAAGCAACATCTTTAAATCACCTATTAAGTGTCATAAAGCCTATAGGGGGGAAAAAATCATGTTTCAGTTCTCTCCGGAGCATTTGGGATGAATGTTGGACAGATTCTGTCTAGAAGATGTTATAAAATACATTTTATATCGAGTTATTAACGGAGAAATTTATATATGTGGTGTTATATTATGGATGTGTGCGCTCCCTGTGCTCCGGGTCCCTCCGTTGGTGGCAAGACCACTGGATTTCGATGCCAGTCGGTCGGCGAGTAAATGAATATGATGAATGAAAACACACAGGCATGTGCGTATAGACATGCGTTGTACTGCTGTACAGTAACGTGTAATTTGTTTGTTTTGGTTGTCCTAATTTTAATAGTTTCGTGATGATGTGTTGGTGTGCTTTATCTGCATGATTCTCGCTGAAGTGGGCGGTTTGAGTGACGTTCGATTCGGGGGATGTTTTGGGGGCGGGGTTTGAATGACGCGCTGCCAGCTACTAGCCCCACAGTGGAAACGCGACATGATTTCGGCCTCACTAGCCGCGTTTCCACTATCGCGCCTAAAGCGAGCGAGCCAGGGCGAGCCAAGGCCAGTGGCGTTTCCACTATCGCGCCTAAAGCGAGCGAGCCAGGGCGAGCCAAGGCCAGTGGCGTTTCCACTGTCACTTCCGGGGCCTAATCGGGCCAAAGCGGGGCTTTCTCGGGGCCAACGGCCAGCCTTTTTCGGCCCGCCGAATACCTTGGGCCAAGGAGGGCCAGCCGGGGCTTCGGGGCGGAGTGAAAGGAGAGGCGGGCACAGTTTTCCGATCGCACTCGAGTACATGCGCCAAACACATAAATAAATAAGGGAAAGAAAACATCTGGAACAAATTATAGGCTGGGGTCTTTTTTGCATATGATCGCCCTTAAGTTTCTCTTTTAAATGTAGGCTGTTGCATAAAATGATCTTTCTTTGCTGCATCTTTGATGTTTCAATAACGCATAATAATCTTTACACCATATTAAAGACACAGCAGACAGTAAAGGTTTTCAAGAGGTTTTGTCAAGTTTAATACTGTAAGTGTGTTTTTGCGCGTTTAGATGCCTGTGTATGTGTGTGAGACCGAAAAAAAGAGCGCTCCATTCATAGCTCTGTTGATGCCGCGAGCGGATTTTTTCTTTTATTTTTATTGTTTTAATTTATTTTCGAGATAATACACTATATGAATACAACAGTAGGACATTAAACTTTACAAATTTCATGTCCACTTTTGTAGGCTCAAAACAATAGTGTCATATCTAGATAAAATAGCCCTATATTGAAATAATTTAAAGAATTACAAATATTAGATAGGCCTATAATAAAATCACATTAAATAAATAAACCAATATAAAACTAACAAAAGCTATAGCTATAAAAAATAGGTACTATATCAAACTGTTTCAAATTTATATTAAACTTTCATTTTTCAAAAGCCTCTTTGAAAAAAAGATTTTAGATATTTTCTAAAAAAAATAAAAATAAATAAACACCGGAAAATGTTTTAAATATTATTTATAAAGTATTTGGATACGATGAAGTTAATCCAATCATGAAAATAGAGCATTTTCGGGGTGAGTGAAAGCAGAAATAGGCGACCTTTTTTTCTGTCTGCAGCCGCGCAGCACTTTTTTGACGGGAAAAACTGCAAGTTCAAAATGTGTTCTGTGTCCTCAAACAAGTGTGTATGTTTTTATATGACGTGGTAAAATTAAAAAAGGAAATTTTAAATACATAAAGAGCTTTATTAGTGCATTGCTGCTGAGCGCAACGAAATATAGGCTATATTTTATTACGTGCTGCTCTTATGTGCTGAAACACTGAACACTTTCCTTTACTTAAGATATAATAAGCAACATCTTTAAATCACCTATTAAGTGTCATAAAGCCTATAGGGGGGAAAAAATCATGTTTCAGTTCTCTCCGGAGCATTTGGGATGAATGTTGGACAGATTCTGTCTAGAAGATGTTATAAAATACATTTTATATCGAGTTATTAACGGAGAAATTTATATATGTGGTGTTATATTATGGATGTGTGCGCTCCCTGTGCTCCGGGTCCCTCCGTTGGTGGCAAGACCACTGGATTTCGATGCCAGTCGGTCGGCGAGTAAATGAATATGATGAATGAAAACACACAGGCATGTGCGTATAGACATGCGTTGTACTGCTGTACAGTAACGTGTAATTTGTTTGTTTTGGTTGTCCTAATTTTAATAGTTTCGTGATGATGTGTTGGTGTGCTTTATCTGCATGATTCTCGCTGAAGTGGGCGGTTTGAGTGACGTTCGATTCGGGGGATGTTTTGGGGGCGGGGTTTGAATGACGCGCTGCCAGCTACTAGCCCCACAGTGGAAACGCGACATGATTTCGGCCTCACTGCTCAACCTTCCGGGCGATTGGCCCGGCCTGGCCCGATATAAGCCCTGGCTCGCACTGGCCTGATAGTGGAAATGCGGCTGAAAAATTGAAACCGTATGTTGTTGGGACGCTGTTTCGCTAACACCGTAACCAGGAAGTGTGAAAAAGGCCTATTGGCGCGCTCAAATACCAAATGCGTAATAATTTAGGCGGGGTTAAGCAAAGCAGGTGATTTGAATATACTATACAGATATCTACAAAAAAGTTTTGACTAGTCACAATGTTAATTAAAGATATCTACAATTATATTCTTTCTAGTCACAAAGCTCAATGCAGATATCTCCAAAGAATGATCCTCCTAGTCAAAACTTTAAACGAGATATCTCTACTTACATTGCGGATATCTTTTAACGAGTTTTGACTAGTCAAAAATCCAATTCAAGATATCTACAATTGTAATTCGACTAGTAGTAAATCAATTAGAGATATCTTCAAATATATTTGTAGATATCTCTAAACATGACAAATTAAAGATATCTCTAAATGTATTATGACTAGTAGAAACTCAGTTAGAGATATCTCTAATTACAATTGTGACTAGTTGAAATTCATTTAGAGATATCTCTAATTATAATTGTGACTAGTCAAAACTCATTTAGAGATATCTGCAAATATTTTTCAATGGAAGTCAATGGAGGACTATGACTAGTCATAATATATTTGCAGATTTCTCCAATATGATTTCGTACTAGTACAATTGTAATTGCAGATATCTCTAATTGTCATTCTGACTAGTCGAATTATAATTATGACTAGTCAAAATATAATTAGAGATATCTCTAAATATATTTATGGATAGTCAAAACAAAGTAGTAAATGTTAAAATGGCTTGCCATATTAGCAGATCTGGGTGGGGATGAATGTGGGGGCGGGGCTGCACATTCAGCCACGCCCACCTGTAATTTCATTGGTTAGTGGAAAGCCCACTACGTGATGTCAGTAAACAGGAAATGCATTTACAACTTCTTAAATATTGTTTTTATTGTTAATAAACACAAAAATACACAAAAGTGAACATTCTTGCTGAGTTTTTTAATATGTTAATTATGTCAACAATTATGTGAATTTCATAATGGTATTTCTCCTGCTAAAAAATATCACAAAAGACTCAAAAGACTCTTTTCACAATGGTGTCACTTCAGAAATGCAGTGATTTTAATTTTGATATTTTAATGGTTTATTATTTTGCTTCAAAATGCAAATGCATATTGCATATTTACAACAAATAAAGGTTGAGTCTGAAAAAATAAATAAATAAAAATGCAGTATTTTTAGTTCAGTTTAATTTGAAATTTAACTTTGAATGGGAGAGTTCTCTGGAAAATTTACAATTAAAAATATTAAAATTATACTTTGATTTAAGGCTATTAAAAATATTGGGCATGTGTCCAATTGTTTCTCTTTTAATACTGCACTGCTTTGAGTTTTATTAAGAGCAGGGATAAGCTATTATTTATTAAGGGAAGTATATGTTTGTAACCTTTTTACTTATTAAATCAGATGGATTTATTTTTACCTTGATGCTGCTATGAATATAAATGTATATTTTCTGTTATATGTAAATGTTCCAGCATGAGTAAATTTTTTTAATTATTTTTTTCATATTACATGGTGAGTCATCTATGGATACAATCAATTTCATTATTTATTATTTACTGATCCATTAAAGTTTTGTTCAGTTTCTCCATTTGAATGAAGACAGTGCTCTGCTGCCACCTACTGGGTGGTTTTAATATCTGTTCTACATTTTAATTAATGTTACAAATAATTTCATAATCTAATAATACTGAATTAAAATGCAGTCTTCTTGGTTTTATTTTTGTATTATTTGTAAATACAGGGTAAATACTTTAATACCACTTTCTAACAACCCTTCTGGATCCATTTCTGCACTGTAGATCTTTAAAAAAAATTTATAATGATTTTGTTTGGTTATTAAGAGTCACATACAACATTGTTATTCTATTTCATTTAATTAGAATATTAAATACACTTAATATTATATTAATAGGGTGGCACAAATGGCCAGTTTTATTTATTACTTATCTATCAGGACACAAATTAATGAAAATAAATTTGACATTAATAAGTGCAGCACTCGTGTAAACTTCTGAATTTTTTATTTGACAAATGCTGATAAATACATACCAACTTCATCTTCAGTAAAAACACCAACACAAAGCAAGACACTTAGTTGAAAGTCCCTCTTTCTCGGTTCAAGTAAAAATCTGGCAGATCTGTGTTTTTTTAGATGTCAGATGTCTCACCTACAGAACATCTGTGTATGCACATGCACACATGCACAAAAGGAAGACTGACAATTTATAGAAAATAATAATAATAATTTAAGATACAGCAGTTTGTGATTATTATTACCTTTAATAAACATAAAAACAATTATATATTTTTTACAGGGAAATTCCACTACAGCATTAAAGTAACAATCTGCTGAGCAATATATTGGGAAGTCATTTGTTGAACAGAATGCTTGCAGGACCCCCCTCTCGCCATACCCCACAGACAAAGCACTTTGTCAAAGTATATGGCACTCTGATTGATGACACCTAAAAAAAAATCAAGTACTTATTTAAGCAAGACACAACCATAATTCAAAGTTTTTAAAACTAACGGAGTTGGAATGGCATCCGCTGCGTAAAAACTTGCTGGATAAGTTGGCGGTTCATTCCACTGTGGCAACCCCGGATTAATAAAGGGACTAAGCCGACAAGAAAATGAATAAATGAATGACAATGGCTCAGCAGGTCCTGGATTTCAGTGAGAGTTGCAGAAATGTCTCATCACCATCCTGTGTGACAACTCTCTGTAGGATACACTGCAGGATCTCAGGCGGCATCTGTACAAAATAACCAACAATCATCAACATGTCGCTTAACATACAGTATATTAAAGTTAAACTCAAAGAATTAAATATGTTTGTACTAGGCATGCCCATCCTCACATTCCCCTTTGCATCAGTTTCATGCATTGGTTATAAAGTAAACAAAAAAAAGGGAACATGGTGTAAATAAATATATAAAAAAAATTAAAAGCAAAAATCTATTAAAACAAAAAGAGAGAAAGAACTGAGGTAAAATAAAAAGAGAGAATATGCTCCACAAGAATCATAGTGATGAATATATATCAATGCCAATGATCTGCAAACAGAATGTAGTATAGATCAGTAAGTTAAAAATCAAGTTTTATATTGTACATATTTAGCATTAACATTACCAGTGTATATAAATTAAAGAACATGTCACAAAGAAATATTCTATTTTGTTATCTTTGATATCATTAAACTTCATGTGATGGACCGTGTTGCTCAAACTCTTTAAAGTTTACATTATTCTTTTAAGTGAATAAGATTACCAACTGTACGATCAACCTGGAAAACACACAGAAAACATTTTTTTAAAGGCTTTAAAACTTCATATCTCCTTAAAGGCCTTTAATTAAATAAATTACACATAATACGTAGCTCGTGAGGTGTACTGCACTATAATTTAACCATTTACATGACAGAAGACGTGTACGTACCATGCAGAGATGAAAACCGGAATCGAAAGCATACATTACATCAACGTCAATATGTTTCCGTGAACCAATGAAAGACTTGTAGGCGGAGCGACATGTTCAGTCCCGCCTACTTATGGGCGGGGCTGAATGTGCAGCCCCGCCCCATATTCAGCCCCGCCCCGATCTGCGGGCAGCAGACGGGTGTGCCTGTGGGGCATGCACTAAATTCCAGGGGTTTCATTACCACGACGTAAAATGGGCGTGGCTCGGTCGGTGTTTGGGAAACGCCCCCTTAATAAAAAAAACAATACTGAGAGGTCACCGATCATGCGCAGTACAGGTTCTTTTTTAGCGCGGTCATTTCAAACAGGATGATTATGGATAAAGAACCTACCGCGGTGGATAACGAGGGAAAAAACAATCATACAGGTTATTTTTTTGTTTTTATAATGTTATATTTTAAAGATTTCATTAGCAAAAACGGCTGACCTCGTTTTACTCCGTTTTACTGTCTCTGGGCTTTTGTACTTCCATTTTAAACCAAATAATAATGGTTGTGGTAAGATTAACCGTGTTTTTGTAGTTTAAAATATGGTATTCAGTCATGTTTAAACAAATAAATACCACATTTTCTGTAATAAATCGTGGTTAATTTTTCTTTCTCGATCTTAGTTAATTAACATAACTCATATTTATTTTCTATTTTTATTTAAAGTCATCATACACAAAACAACTGGGATCAGGACAGGTATCTGATGTTAACTAATATAAAAGTGATCATACATGAAACCCCTGGGATCAGGACAGGTATTTGATGTTACTGTATATAATATAAAAGTGATCATACATGAAACACCTGGGATCAGGACAGGTATTTGATGTTAATATATATAAAAGTGATCATACATAAAACCCCTGGGATCAGGACAGGTATTTGATGTTAATATATATAAAAGTGATCATACATGAAACCCCTGAGATCAGGACAGGTATCTGATGTTAATATATATAAAAGTGATCATACATGAAACACCTGGGATCAGGACAGGTATTTGATGTTACTGTATATAATATAAAAGTGATCATACATGAAACACCTGAGATCAGGACAGGTATTTGATGTTAATATATATAAAAGTGATCATACATGAAACCCCTGGGATCAGGACAGGTATCTGATGTTAATATATATAAAAGTGATCATACATGAAACACCTGGGATCAGGACAGGTATCTGATGTTAACTAATATAAAAGTAATCATACATAAAACCCCTGGGATCAGGACAGGTATCTGATGTTAATATATATAAAAGTGATCATACATGAAACACCTGAGATCAGGACAGGTATCTGATGTTACTGTATATAATATAAAAGTGATCATACATAAAACCCCTGGGATCAGGACAGGTATTTGATGTTAATGTATATAATATAAAAGTGATCATACATGAAACACCTGAGATCAGGACAGGTATCTGATGTTACTGTATATAATATAAAAGTGATCATACATAAAACCCCTGGGATCAGGACAGGTATTTGATGTTAACATATATAAAAGTGATCATACATGAAACCCCTGGGATCAGGACAGGTATCTGATGTTAATATATATAAAAGTGATCATACATGAAACCCCTGAGATCAGGACAGGTATTTGATGTTACTGTATATAATATAAAAGTGATCATACATGAAACCCCTGAGATCAGGACAGGTATCTGATGTTAATGTATATAAAAGTGATCATACATGAAACACCTGGGATCAGGACAGGTATCTGATGTTAATGTATATAATATATAAAGTTTTTGGCACAAAAGCCGTGGGATCGGGACAGGTATCTTAAGTTATAACAGTATTAATGTAATCTGAGAGGTATCTTAAGTTAATTTTTTTAATATAACATTCACTGACTTCACATGAAACACCTGCGATCAGGACAGCTATTTAGTACTGCATATAAAAGGCATTTGACACGAAACCCCTGCAATACGTACAGGTATCTGAATCAAACGGCTGTTTTCACAATCTGCGCATGATCCGTGACCTATGCAAATTCACAGATAGGCCACGCCCACCCGATGACGTAGTAGCGGTTACGCTGTACTGAAACCCCTGGAAAAAAGTGCCTGCCGTACTTGTGGCTCTCCCTCAGGAAGCCAATACGGAAGTAACTAAAACTGCAATTCATCCGAAATTCCGCTAGTCCTGGCCGCTCCTGGCTCCAAAATAGAGCAAATTTCAATTGAGCCCACTAGAATGGCCAACTTTACAGCAGAAAAAAAAGGTGTTTACAGCCTGATACAAAAAAAAAAAAATGATTTTGGTTAATACAGCTAATATTACCCTTCATGACAACTGTGAGGGGGGTAATTTTTTTTTATAACCCATTAGGTATTAACCATTTTTATGAATTTCTCTCCAAATCCAATCAATTCTAGGGCAGAAAATAAAAATGTATGTTCGATAGTGTCAAAAGCTTTGTAGAAATCTAAGAATAATATAATGGCATCAGATTTAATGTGGTGTGCATAATCTATGAGGTCCAAAATTAGCCGGATATTACAATTTATGTCTTTTAGGCACTCGAAATCCAGTTCGAGTTTCATTAATTATTTCCGCTAATCCTGATTTCAATCTTTTTGCAAGAGCTAATGATAAAATTTTGTAATCTAGATTTAGCAAAGTGATTGGTCTCCAGTTATCAAGGCATAGACGATCTTTACCTGGTTTAGGTATTACCCTGTTTCATAGACGTACTTCCTCTTTACTAATACATTCATTTTACATTCTAAATAGAGGTGACTTGATCAGATCTCAAAAATATGCATAAAACTCAATAGTTAGCCCATTTTAGCCTGGGGATTTACCCTTCTTCATAGCCAGCATTGCTTTGGTAAGTTCGTTTAAAAAAAGTTTGTTATCACAAGTTAATTTGAATTCATTAGAAATTGACGGTTTGATTTCCTGTAAAAACAAATTTGCTAATTTATCATTATATTCAGAACAGTATAATTTGTTATAAAAAGAATATACAAATTTATTAATTTGACTGGGATTTTTATTTTATTAGTTTATATTGCCATCAATTGTTAAAGCCGAAATACAATTTTTTTTATATTTCTTTTTTCCAATGCAAAAAAATAACTGGTATTTTTCTCTCCCTTTTCTAACCATTTAGCCCGCGATCTTATAAATGCACCCTTTGCTAGATCTAGATAACATTCATCCATTTCATTTCTGAATTTAGATAAATAGGTTTCTTCCTCTGTGTTAAGGGATTATTTAGATAATAGCTTGTCAAGCTCACTGATAATTTCTTGACATCTTTTAGAATTTTCTGCTTTAAGTTCTTTCCCTCGATGCATCGCTAATTGTCTAACTTTGAATTAAAAAAATTCCCATCTTTGAATATAGCTCATGGATGCATTATCCAAAATAGAAGCAGTTATTTAACAGAGTCTATGAACTGTTTATCTGATAAAAACCTATTATTACATTTCCAATAGCCTCTGAATTTTTATGCAATTATCTATATTTCCCTTCAAAGAGATTGAGATTAATCTATGATCTGATAAAGGTGAATATGCAATTAAGGTGTCTGATACAAACTGCACTGCATTAGTAGATAAAAGCCAAAAATCAATTCGTGATTGTCGTGATCGTCCATGTATATTCTTTATGGTATGGATGTAAAAAACGCCAGACATCAGTAATCTTTAAATTATCAAACAGCAAATCAAAAACTTTGGATGGACTGTTCTTTGGAGGAAACCTGTCTAGGGATACACTTGGAGCTTCGTTAAAATCACCTCCAATCAGTAAATAGGCATTTTTGTGTATTTTTCTTGTAGGTCTACTAACAGACTAATTTTTTTGAACATGTCTAAATTTAAGTTATTATTATGTCCGTAAACATAGCAAATGATAAATTTCGTATTGTCCAAATTTAAAATCATTATTATCCATCTCCCTTCTCCAGAATACTAGGTTTCCACAATTTCTCCCTTAAACTTATTTAAGAAAATAGCGATCCCTGCAGAATGATTTGTTCCGTGACAAAAGTATGCCGAATTTCCCCACTGCCATTTCCAAAACTACATCATTATCACAGGAATGGGTTTCTTGAAATATAATAATTTGAGCTTCTCTTTCTTTAATGAAAAGAAAAAGTGCCTTTCTTTTATCAATATCTCTTAGGCCTCTGACATTAAGGGAAATAAAATCTATTTTCTTGAAATTAAATTCTGTCATTCAAAAATAAAAAAATAAAACGCATAACAATAAACAAGACCTCCTAGATTAAACTAATCTAAGTTACTCTTTTACAGTGCAAATTAGACTCACCGAATGCTTACATGCAACAAAATGTCAACAGATATTAAAATTATAAAGTAAACTTTTAGGGTAATGAATTGTCTCAAAGAGACTAGTATGGGTAACTGCAGTGTGGAGCAATGGGCGTGGCAAAAGGTAGGGGCGGAGTAAAATGTTTTTTATTGGTCAAAGGTTTTTTCCGGTAGGGGCGTGGCAAAAGGTTTTTTATTGGTCAAAGGTTTTATTTCTGGTCAAATGCGTTGGCCAATTAGATTAACATATTAAATAAGCTGCTCGTTTAGCTTAAAGGATTATTCTACTTTATGCTACTGGTGTTTAGAATAAAGAATAAATTAAACGTAGTTACAAGTTTCATTAATGTAATGGGTAAATCAGCATTCTAATGGATACAAATGCTTAAATATCAGTAGACAAATTATGGGTTTTTGTTCTTTTTACTGGCAATTTAAAATTGCACTACTTAGAAAATGTTTTAATCCGTACTATTTTATACTGTGATTTAGTTGCTAAAATTATTGCCTAAAATAATTTAAATTAAAAAGATTTTGAGAAATAAAATTTTTGCCTGGTAAATACTGTTCAAATATCACATATTTATAATAAAGATAACTGATTAGCAATAATTAGTGATATTAATCAATTTGGAACACAGACACAAGTTCATTAAACATTTTAGTTTAATTATCAAAAAAGAAATAAAACAACCTCTTAAAAAGTAAAAAACAAACAAACAAAAAAACAACAACAACATGCCATTCACTGACAAAAAATCCATACATCCGTCAATTCACCATTATTATCATCCATTAAGTACAAATCCAT